GCCTGTACACATGACCTATAAACCGATTTCAGCACATGACAATATTTTGAAACGTTTGTAAATATCTTTATTTGGACTATGATAGTGGAGACTACAGTTTGCATCACTTTTGCAAGCTCGTGATCATGTTGCATTTCACGTAAGGGGATTTATAATCTTTCAAAGTTTGTGTGCGCAATTGAGCAACCTATGACCAAGTTATATACTGATTTATACTCTTTCAGTAAAATTTAGTAAAATTATTTAGTAAATTTCATAACAGAATAATTGTTTACACATTGGTATGCGTCCGAAAGTCTTTGTAAAAAGGGATGTTTTGTTTTCTTGTTCAACTAAGTGCGTTACTTACTAGTAACGCACTTAGTTAAACAAGAAAACAAAACAAAAGTGATTAAAGTTTGAAAATATTTTGATAGGGTGTTGTTAAGGTATTGCTATACACCTACTCTTTTTAACGTATACAAAGATGTTTAACGTTGAATTTTTGTACCTATGCAATAAAAAACATTATTATAAAAAAAAACTATTAGAATTGCTCCAGTCGCCACGTTGGATCACTAAGTATTTAATGTTATCTAAACGTGATCTTATAGAGATTAAAAGTCTATTAAAGTTGCTCAGTACTTGAATGGATCTTCAATTCACGTTTCTATTTAAGAGTTTTTTATTTCATTTTTACATGAAATTAGATATCTGGCATTTTAGCTTTAAAAGTGAAGCAATAAAAAGTTAAGCGCAGCGGAGAATAGTTTTCGACATCTGTCAGTAAAAAGGCACTTAAAAAAAATAAGTTTTACTACCAAACTGATAACTTCAATATGATTATTAGTAATATGTAATCATAAGAACCAAACTAAGAACAGAGTGAATGTATAATATTAGAATAAAGAAACTATTTTCTGATCAATTTTTTATCTATCTATCAAAGTATCTGCAGGGTTTTCCTTAATAAAAACTCTTACAAACTACCTTCCAAACGACACTTATTTTCTTACGAGATTATTAACAAAACGCGAAGTGTGATGACAGTTAAACATGGACCATAGATAATAATACTATGCATCCAATACAAGTGAAAGGCATAATAACTTGCCGATATTAAAGATATTGTAATTAACCGTTACTACTAGCATGACATCGTGTCTTGCTAGTAGAAACGTACGGCGGCGAGACTGAATCACATGTGGATCTTGTCTATGGTGTCGTCATAGTTTCTTTCTTCGAAACAGTAAGGCTTAGATTCCGCGTTTACGTTTCTTCCTACTATACTCGTGCCATCTCTAAAGTTGCCAGCTTTAAAATATATTTTTTTTTAGTTTAGATCGCAAACGAGCAGACGCGTGACCTGATGGTAAGTAACTACCGCCGTCCACTGACACTTGCAACTCAAGAGACACAACTGCTTTGCCGTTCTTTGAGTTCACCCAGAATTAAGAGGGAGAGGGAGGGTCTCCGGTAACGTCACTCACTTGCTTAACACTAGTTTTTTTGTGAGGCCGTTTCATCACTCCGATCGAGCTGATGTCGCATATATGAGCTGAAGCATGGCTCTCCCAAGTAATGTATTCATGGTTCTCGATTTTCTGTAGTCTCTTTTATTTATCATTACATTAATTTATCACGTCCTCTCCCCTCCCCCAAATTAGAGAGGGAGAGGTTGGGCCTGTGGCAACTCACTCACAAGTAGACAAACGGGAAATGTAAGCAGCTTTATCAGTTCCAAACAATCTTGCTTCTATAGATAATAACAGATCACATCTCAATTAGTTTCTGTCTCAATGACCAAAGCGCTAAGCCATTAAGACAAATGAGTAGCTATTACACCTCAGTGCTATAAATACGCGTAATCGAACAGTACAATTTAAACAGCGTTATATTGTCATTGAACTTGAGTGAAAGAGTGAAAGTTTATTATTTCAACAGCCATCTGATCTCGATTTGACAGCGCAATGAAAGTGCTATACCGAAATGGACTACTATTTCCCAATCGCCTTGGGCTGCACTAAAAGAAAATGTATCTGTCAACATATATATGGACATCGTACATCATCTGTCATTGAACTTGATTTTAGAATGTATTCAAATTTAAATATCGTGTCTTTCGTCTGCACAGATTACTAAACCACAGAGTAAAACTTCACATAATGGAATACGTACTTATCGTTCTTGAATTTAGATCATTTAAAGTATTTTTATATATGTTATTATCTTTATGTTTGTTTACGAAAAATAACTGGTATTTTTATTACTTTAATAAAGAGTTAAAATAATGACTAATGTTTAAGTATGATTTTAGTAGTAGGTTACTTCACGATAAACTATCGTCTGAGACATTCTTGATCTGGAAACAAAACATCTATTAACTAAGCCCAGATGTTCTAAATTCTGTATAATTATGTGGACGGAGAACGTTTCCTTCTCGAAGAGGGCTGTCGAAGATGAGCATAGAAAAATCGACTAGTTTTGTTCGTCCAACTTCCCACAATATTGTTGTAAATATAGCAATAGGCAGATTACGTTTGTTACATAAGTCTTCATCAGCATAATAAAAAATCAATGTCAAAGTCATTCGATTTCAAAATCAAATTTTCAAATATGGTATGTTCGAAAATGGTGTGGTTACATGACAGAGAAAGTGAGAAATTCGATGTGAATTTAAGTGGAATTGATGCTCCTAATATGGGCTCATTGTGTACAATGAAAGGCGATTAGGGCTTTGTCAGTTTTAATGGCGACGAGACGGTGATCACACACGATAAACGAATGAGATACTTCGATAACACTTTCGTAATACGTGTGAACTTTTGAATTAACCTGACAATTAATATAATAATATAGTAGCACATTCAAACAACACCATCTAAGCAGTCCCAAACTAAGCAGATCTTTTACAATGGGTACTAGAAAAATGATACTAAAACATATATATTTTTTGTAAATTGTATTTTGACTGCATGGATGGCGTAGTGGTTGAAGCGGTCACCTCGCCGATTAATACCGCACTGAGTGTTTTGGGTTCGCTTCCCACATGGGACAATACTTTGTGTGATCCACACAAATTGTTGTTCTGATTCTAGATGTCCTTTGTGTCCGTTTCATGTATGTTTGTAGTCCCCCCTCAACACAGGATTTATTCCTAGTGCGGGCGTTGTCTTAAAAAAAACATACATTTTAAATGTTCAAGCGCAAAAATTTTGGACTTGAGTGAAAATCGAACCGCAGTCCGATACACGAAGCACTACGCCATCCGGCTAATTTATGGTTGTGCTTGTAATTTTTTTTTTATAATTAACTGGCGGGAATACACGTGTGTTCAAGAAAAGTATTCTATTTTTTTGTTAAAGTCTAGACGGCCGTGATATTGTCTTTTGACCTTACATATGTAATTACGTCGACCGTAAAAGTTTTTTTTTTAAGTTTTTAATGTATATATATGTCTTTTTGTCATGCATAACTACAGAACTTGTCTGCCAAGTCTAACCAGCTTTCACTACAAAGGTGGCAAACTCTTCCTAGGCATATACGGCAGCCATTCCGCAAAATCAATACCGTTTCTTCTTACAGAACTTATTCCAGATTAGAACCTATTCTAATCAGCTAACTCTGATGAAACTTGTATGAAATGTTAATATTTATTTTATAGTTTTTTTATTGTGTAAATGGCAAATGAGATGGCAAGTGACTACCTTCACCTATGGACACCTGCAACTTAAGAGACATTAATGTGAGATCATAACTGACGCAAAAAAAAACAGTGGCACTCCAACTTGAAAACCTTTGATTATATCGAGAATTTTGTTTATTTTCGATTCGAAAAGTTCCGTCATGAATATACATCATAGTACGTATATACAAAATATATTTTTATATTATACTAGCTGACCCGGCGAACTCTGTTCCGCCTTAAAGGCAATAAATAAGCCGATTTTCGAATTTAGTAAGTTAATTTTTTTCTTAGAAAAAAAAATGAAGTACATTAATCATTTATTATTGTTTCTGCATTTCAGTACCCGTGAACATACCACATATAATTGACCATGGGAAAAACATGGATGTTCTAGATTCAAACCACAAACTTTTAAGGATTGGCCTTGTGATTTGTTGATGGTCATGGAAAATGCAAGACGGATCGGAAATTGAAGTCTTTTAAATTCAAACGGCAAATCGGTTGGGATCATCGGGATTCTCGGAATGAGAACTTTCTCACCTTTGAATTTTCCTTTCAGTATCGTCGCGTAAATTACATTGTTCATCAATTTTCTTACCACCAAACGCGTACCGTTGCACAGTTTTGGTTGGTTTATGTTTCGAAGCATGATTACTACGGAGCCAACCTTTAGGCGTAAATAAGGCGGTGGTAAGCCAGGCACATCAAGGGAGTTTAAAAATTCAATTGGATAGTTGGTGGCTTCATCTTCATTTGTGACGCAGTCAATAGATTTGAATGAATGCATTGTTTCAATGATCTTATTTTGAATTATATAGTTCAGGTCGTCTACATCTTTATTCTTAGCCGCTGAAATTGCTCGCTCACTCAACCATTCATTATTTTTGTAGTTAGAAATAATGTCTTTAAATACATTGTTGATAAGTTCGTCTTTTGATGAGACAAAATTACAGAAATTATTTGGAAATGATATCAATCCGCTCGATTCATCGACAGGTACTTGACCATTACCGATAGTCAGCAATTGCTCAGAGAAATCTTGAGCAGATGTATCATTAAGCAATGCAACTCTCATGTTTGTTGTCAGCCGCAGTTTCTTCACATAGCGCCTTAGATTCGACGATTTGAGGCAAGCGTTTATTTCGTCGGCAGCCGTAGATCTTGGAATTACTGGCAGTGTTTGGCGGAAATCAACAGACAGTAAAATCATTGCTCCTCCAAAACATCTCGAGTCATTCCGTAAATCTTTCAATGTTCGGTTAAGTGCTTCTAATGCACGTTTATGCGCCATTGTGCATTCGTCCCAGATGATGATTTTCTATGCCGATAAAACTTAGGCCATTGCTGAATTTTTCGTAATATTACACGTTGGTTCTTCAATAGTTTGAAGATTTAACGGTAATTTTAATGCTGAATGAGCCGTACGGCATCCTTCTAACAATGTGGCTGCTATTCCAGAAGAAGCAACTGCAACCGCTATGTTGGATCTCGCACGAACAGTGGCTAAAACCACTGACATGAGGAATGTCTTACCTGTTCCACCAGGGGCATCTAGGAAATATAAACCACCATTTCCATCATCGATTGCCTTCATTAAAGTATCATAAACTTCCTTTTGTTGGGAATTCAACAGGGGTACATTCGTTTGAACTACTAAATCTAATTCCTGGTGATCATATTAACGTTCCCGTTCCAATTCTCGATTAAATGCGTCATTCATTTCACGATTGGGCGCTGGCATTCCTAACCTGATTAATAAACTATCGCACATGAGGTAACACATATCTTCGATCAAGAGTAAAGCACGATTATGTATCTCCTCATTCATCTCAACATCGTGATTTCTGGAAGTGATACGAATTTAATGCAAAATATCTTCTGACATATTATCCTTATATTTGTGCCACAGGTTACATGGGTTTGATGGAAAGCATGTCTAAATTATGATAGCGAATAATGTGCGTATCTGACTTGGAGATGCAGAGATAATGGCTTCAGCGATTGTCGTATCCCAATGGGTATCGTTCTCTAATAAGTACAGTTCTTCACATGCAGCACGATATGTTGGGAATATTACACCATTAACAGTCCGTAGTGTCTCAAATGACGTTGGCCCACGCACATTTATCAGCAACAACCGCAAATAGAAACATTCATCATTCTTTGGATGAACTGTATACATACGACCAAGAGCATCAGTGGAACGCACATCCGGATACCCAGGAACTGCATCGCCTTGCTTCCGTCTTTGAAAATTCTTCGATGAAGCATTCCAAGTATAACAACGTGGCATCTCCGAGTAAAGCAAAGTTCGTAAAAAAACAAAAAAAAAACAAAAAAAACTGTCGAACGGAATAAATAGTATCCTATGTCCGTCTCCTGGCTCTAAGCTACCTCCCCACCAATTTTCAGCCATATCGGTAAAGCCGTTCTTGAGTTATAAATAGTGTAACTAACACGACTTTCTTTTATATATATAGATATGGTTATATTTTTAATGTATTTCAAGCCAAACTCAACTCTCGTGAAAACGGGGTCAATATATGTATGTAGATACTTAAACATAAGAGTCAGTTGCCGCCCTTTCAGGCCTCCTCTTCCCCTAGGCTCAGGTCTGGTGGAGGGGGAAGTTAGGCTCCGTTACTTACTCCGTGAAAAGCTTCGAAAGATTTGCTTAGCACCGGTTTATTACATTTTATTAATGAACTTTATAGTTAACTGGCTCTGCCCTGGCATACTTCGCAGTGGCATATTGTGGTTGCATTGATGATTGATTGAAAAAGGCACCAAAACTGGCACGAAAAATAGATAAAAACCATCTTTGAAACGGATTCAATATCGTGTCAAAATTTTAGCTCAATCGGTGCAGAACTTTTTGAGGTTTTGAAGCGTATAAAACCAACTTAACATTTTTTATATGTATATAGAGATTAAAGTTAATTTTACAATTTATTTTAATTTTGTATCATTAAAACAAACCGCAAAAAAAATGTGTACAGTTCAACGCTTCATAAGTATACCCAGTTTTTTATTCAAATAAGTATCTAACAAGCAGTTCTAATGCAAAGGTACCTCCAAGATTATGTTCTCAGGCATGCAGTATCACCTATTCTGCGCACACATCACTACAAGAAGGTACAAGACTCGCGACTCGTCCGACGGGATGCCACCAGCCAGTTGACGGCACACGGAAACAGGTACTGGACAATTTTCTCTGCAACCTTGACTTGTAACTTGTAAGGACGCCTTTAACAAAACCCTACCCCTCAATTAAGAGCAAAGTAGGTAATTGATAAGACTCATCAGCTGTGATTACTATGCCATTAAATTAAACAAAAGATAAATAAATGGTTTATGGTTTCGGTATGTTGTCGAATAGCGGGTAACTATGTCCATTGAGGTATTCGTTAATTCGATAAGTGGAAGACTTCCGTTTTTATTTAATTGTAGACGTAAACATTAATTAACAATTGTAAACAATTTTATTCGGTTAAATTGTATACCTTGACATAAATTGTTATTGACGTGTTTGTTTTAACTTTATAACTTTCAGAATGTTTTTTTTTTATTTGAACTCATTCCTTTCTTCTTCGTTTCTTAGATACTAATGGGCCGCTTTAATTATCGTTTGCGACCTTTACAAATTAATGTCATGTGGTCAAACTACTATTATCTACTTTTGTCTAATGCCTAGCGTTAGAGTTATGACCCATTGATAATGATGAATCATTGTGCATGTTTTTCTTAAATGTAACCATATACTTTCATCAGTCATATAAATAATTTCCAAAGAAGATAATTAAAAAAAAAACGAGTGTGCTTTAGACTACACGACTGAAGTAAAACTTCTTGGCTATGAGAGAAAGAGAGAAATAAAATGTGTTCTCGCACACCTCTCTCTTGCCTCCACAGTAATATACAAAACGTAACTCTCTCTCCTTGTATCTTCGCTAACTTATATCTCTCTCTCAACTTCCGTTCGCCTCGCCCGATCTCACTTTTCGTAACGCGCTCGTCACGCGTTCACCAGCTTACTCTAGTACTTACGTAAAGCTTACGTAAAGAAGTTTTACTTCAAATTTTTTTTTCCATGCACATCCTAAATATATGTCATTCATATTTACTGAACAAGTTCATTAATTGCATACCCTGGATCGCGAGTTACAAATACCAAAAATGCAATTTTGCGGGTATTGCATTTTTGGTCTGAGTATTCAAATACTATAAAATAATAAATAAATAATAAATCCAATAGTAATAAAACATGATTTTAAAGTATTTCAGTGTAAGTGCACTTAAATTTATTTTTTTATTTACACGTATTAGGATACATGTATGAATGTCTGTATATACTAGATGCACTGAGAAAGTATCTTGCGCGCTAACTACATATGTCATTATAGGTGCATAGAAACCTCCTTAATGTATTGTGATAATTTATTTAGCTCTTCATTAGATTTGAAAATCGAATGATTTTCATTTGTTATATTTTATGATGTAATAAAAAAAACGATATTCAAATTTAAGACGGTATATGTAACCGAAAAGATATCGTGCTCTATGGTTATTTTTCAGATTAGAACAAGCTTTACATTATACATGTACATAGTACTTATTTATCTTCTTAACGTTAAAAAGCCTGTTGTCGGTTGATGTTCTCAGAAAATAATGCGCAACGCGTGAACAGCTCTGGTTGTAACGTTGCCGCTATCGCCATTCAAGTTGCTCACCAGTGGGCGGACTTGACCAGCCTGTCCTACAGGGCTCGGAATGAACGGGCAACGAACAGTAAAATAACTTTGTATAACAAGAGAACTGTAATATTTTAGTGTGTTTTATGGCAGATATTTGTCAGTAGAATACTTTCTGCTAAGGCTGGGTATTACTTGCACTCTGAGATTAAAGTAGTTCCTTAAAGAATCATAATTGTTACTGTGATTCTTCACAATTTTTAAACTAACATATCGCTTAAACCCTGTTATCTATTAAAGTCAAGTAAAATTCTATAATGATTGAATACACTAATGTATAAAATAGTAAGTTTTGACTATTTTCAAAACAGTAACCAATACACCAACACAATGCTAATGCAAGTGGTGAAACTCCTAATAAAGTAACAAACGACATAAAAGGTTAATTATTACAATCATGATTAAGTAAGTAAACCAATAAGTTCTTTTTTTTAATTTAAAATATACGAGCCGCAAAAGCCATGTACTTGCAGTTTTAAATAGAAAATAAATGTTTGTTTATTTTTTATTTAACTATTTATCGCGTTCCTTCGTCCTCGATTTTTATAATAGAGTAAATATTCCTTTTAATTCCTAAGTTTTCTGCGCTATTCACCTCTTGCAGAAACGAAATTTACCGTTGGTAATTGTTCTAAAATACTCCATTATTAAAATCAAGCACATGACATAATGATAAGAATTTAAATAAATATAGTTTATTTTATTTTATCAAAGATTATTATATTGCGGGTAATGACGCAGAAGTAAAAAGAGCGAAGAATAACCGTCAATACGTGCAAAAAAAAGTCAGATGTTTAAAACGAATAAAAACAAACAGTATTAATGAACAGGAACATTTTATACTGTAATGTTTTTCCTAGACTTTCGCGTAACGTAACGTACATACCTATGTACCTTTACTACACGATTTGCATGGCGTAACATAATAGTCTATACGTAACATGTTTCACAATAATAGGTGATGTTTTTTTATTGAATAGGTATAACCTCTTGAAATTGTTCACAAATGCAATGGAGGACATGTTCAAGACGCTGCACTGGAAAGGGCGTGGCATCAATATTAATGGCGAATACATCTCTCACTTGCGATTTGCAGATGACATCGTCATCATGGCAGAGACGCTGCAGGACCTACAGCAAATGCTGAATGACCTAGCTGACGCTTCTGTACGCATCGGCCTACGGATGAACTTGGATAAAACCAAGGTCATGTTCAACGAACATGTACGACCGGAACCGATTGCGGTACACGGTGCCGTTTTCGAAGTTATTCAAAATTATGTGTACCTCGGGCAGACATTGCTGTTAGGTAGAAACAACTTCGAGGACGAGGTGAACAGAAGAATTCGGTTGGGTTGGGCAGCGTTTGGGAAGCTACGTCGAGTCTTCTCATCGTCGATCCCACAGTGCCTTAAGACGAAAGTCTTTAATGAGTGCATCCTACCCGTCATGACATACGGAGCTGAAACGTGGACACTTACGGTACGGCTGGTCCACAAGTTCAAAGTCGCTCAACGTGCTATGGAAAGAGCTATGCTCGGCGTTTCTCTAAGGGATCGCATCAGAAACGAGGTGATCCGGCAAAGAACCAAGGTCACCGACATAGCCTACCGGAACAGCAAGCTGAAGTGGCAGTGGGCTGGCTATATTAGCCACAGAACCGACAACCGTTGGGGAAAACGAGTTCTTGAGTGGAGACCGCGTCTCGGCAAACGTAGTGTAGGACGCCCACAGGCCAGGTGGAGTGACGATTTGCGCAAGATGGCTGGCAGGAGCTGGATGCGAGAAGCCCAAAAACGATCTAAGTGGCGTGCAATGGGAGAGGCCTATGTCCAGCAGTGGA